ATATATAATCTAATAAATATTTATACCAAATTAAGTTATTAAAAAACTAAAATATTTTACGACTACGTGAAATCTTATTCAAATGATATACTATCTATCCATTAATTATATTTTACAAATCTCCAATCACCAATAACGATATGAAGGGCACAAAAGCAATTGGGCATTAGACCAACATATATATGTTCCAAAGGCTAATTTTCCTCTTATACAACTTCGTGGCAAATGGCCATGTCTTTTCCTTGAAAGGATGACACAATCATGCTTCACTACAAATAATAAGATCAACAAGCAACATAACTAAATGATTTAATGGTTTCCTTCTAGTTGTTATAAAATTATAAACTTTTGATATTATACATATAATGTTTAGAATCGGACATGAAAACATAAATTCAATATTTAAAGGTTGATTTAGTTTAAGAAGATTTAATAATTTTTTTATAAGATAATAAGATAATAAATATATAACAAATTTATTATTAATAATAAGTTTTTTTATAAAAAAGGAAAAATTATGATAATATTAAATATTATTATTATGATTATTATACATTTTAACTAAAGTTATAAATATAAAATATAAAAAAAATAAAAGATTGATAATAATGAAAATAAGATGAAAATATAATAAAATAATGATTATTTAAACTTAATATGATTTATGTAAAATAAGTAATAAAAAAATTATATTATTTGTGTTCTAATTTTTTAAAAATTATCTTTAAGTTTTTTTTATTCAACTTAAAAAATTTAATTGTTTTATTTTGTATCAATTTAATTAAAATCTAATTATTTAAACCCTAAACTAATTTTCTGAACGAGTTCTATTGATCGGTTTTTCAAAATAGTGTTACATATTATTCATTTTAATTCTTATTGTTGAAGAAATATTAAGTATGTTATTTGATATACCTGGAGACCCAAAACAAAATGCACGTTTTACACTTTTAATGAATGATTATTACAAAATATATATTTTTTTGAATGTTTTATTCAACTCCTTAAGTTAGAAATCTCACTAATCATATTATGAATATTGGAGACATAACAAGATTTCTTACTTTACAGGTATAAATTATTAATTTTGATGTAAAATCTATTGATTATCTTTAACAACCGTTTCTTATAAAATATTTAAATAAAATATTAGTTGCTTCAAACTAATTTTTATTAAAAAAAAAATACTATTTAGTATGATAAGTTATTTAAATATTTTTGATAATTACTTTATTAAATAATTTACAAAAATAATAAACACAAAACAAATGAGAAGCAAATATTTTTTATAATTACTTTATTAAATAATTTAAAAAATAATAAAGCAAAATAAACGAAGAATAAGAATAAGAAAGAATGCGATCTTTAAAATGATTTGACATAGTAAATTTATATTTATATTTTTTAAAATAAAAAATAACTCATTTAAGATGTTTTCCTTGGATATGTCCTTAATCTTAATGAATTGTTCAATAGAGTTGTTTCTTTTTATTTATGTTAATTACCAGTAAATTTAAGAAACAAAGTTTATTAATTACTTCCAAAAAGATGATCAAAAGTAACCACTTATCTAACTTGATTGATTAGTCATGCTTAGTAAGATCACTTAATAGTAATAAAATCTCTTTAATCTCTTAAAAGAGTATCTTTAAAATTTCCTGATTACTAGACATATGCACCAATCAGGTTAAGATTGTGTTAATTCTATTCCTAACTATAAATAAGAAAGCCTTTACTATGTGATAAACTGATTTTATTTTATTAATTAGGGTGTCTTTAATCATTAACCAAATATTAATATTTGGAGAGGCAGACATTAATTTAAAATAATTTCTTCTAGTATACGATTTGTGTAAATTGAATTTCTGACCACATGCTTAAAAGGAAAAAAATCATCTTCAACCAAATGAAGAGGAGTCACGTAAAAGCCACGTAATAGAAAATTAGTATTTGTTGAACCATTTCAAGAATTATAGTTTGAAAAATAGTAGAAGCATTTTGTCCAACATATGGTTGATTAAAGAATTGTTAGAGTTAGAGAAATTAGGTGATGTTGTAAAAATTGTTGTAATTTATTATGATGATCTTATTAAATATTCTTCAATAATTTATTAAATATTCCTCCCCGCTTCAATATGCTGTGGAATTTTTTTCACAATAATATTAATATAATATTAAAACAAAAAGCATACGTCACACTTATTCTCCGTATGAATGTTTCTAAAGTCAAATTATAATTTTATAAAAGAAATTACTTTTTTAATAGTTTCATAAATTATTTTAATTAAAATTAGGGTATCAAACATCGAAGTTTCATAATTAAATTATTTTATAAAAAGCCATATTATGGGAGATTTGAAAAACGTCATGGTGACGATCCTAGAAAACACGATAAAAAAGCATTTATGACAGCTTTCGAGGATTTTGCGCATCATTATTAAAATATTGAATTGCAATGGTTTGGATCACATTAGCAATGCCATTACCTAATCCACCATATAAAGAGACCAACAATTGCATTTGAAATCATGTAGAAGGTACCAAAAGATATATAAAAAACGCAAATTTAATGGGTACATAAGATTGCGCCACTATAATGTGAATGATTACATCTCAGTTCGAATTCAAATGCATTTGACTTCAACAACCCCATATCAAGGTTGGACACCATATATTCAAACATTTGAATGTGTTGCGTATGCTTCTTTGTAATAATAATATGTACACATTAACCACAACTAGCGTAATAGAGAAAAACGTGTGCATATATTATATAAAACCATCGACAACTTATGAAGGTAATCAGAACTTTAGAATAACGAAAGGATGAATTCCAAATTTATCAAATCTCTTAATAGAAAAATAATATAACTTCGGTACACTAATTGTCAATCAATTTGGTAAAAGATTAGGTATATGTTCTTGCATGCACCGAAGACTAACCTTCCTTCTGGTTTTATTCTGTGATCTTTTTGTAGTTAAATTGTAATTGTCATAATTTTGTTATAATGTTGAAAAAGGGGCTCTAATCTTATATTTTCAGTTCCCCAAAGAACATTATGTGAGTATGTTATTTGAGTTCATGTCAAAAAGTGTTCCCATAGTTCTCTTAAAATATTAGATAGAAAGAGAAAATGGACTTGAATATATAATAATAGTTCTTTATCTTAAGTTCGTTTGATTGTAATAAAGGAAAGTATGAAAAAAAGAGAAAGAAAGAAGGAAAGTATGAAAAAAAGAGAAAGAAAGAATAAAAGTCTACTTATTTGTTTGAGGAGAATGTAGCATGAAAAAAAAATATCATTTCAAAAATAAAAACAAATAAATGAAAATGAAGTAATTTGAAAAATATTATATTTATTAGTTTCTCTTCTTACATTCAAATGAAAAATAAAATATAAAAATATAGTTCTTTCAAAATATATTTAATTTATTGGAATATAGGTTCTCTTAGTATCTAGAATTTTGTATTGGTTTTGATTTGGTCACCCTTTATTTCTTGTATTGTTTTTTTTAGTGAAATTTTGTATGTAATAAACATATGATTTATGAGTTTGGAGGGCAAACCTAATTAGGATTTCATCCCTCATGGAATGTAAAAAATAAATAAATTATTCTTTGTTTAATCTAACACATTATTGTTTTGAATGGTTCTTTTATATCATGAGAAGATTATTGGACCAAATTATAATTAAAATTGTTAACTAATGTTTATGCTAACTAATAAATTTAACTAATACTCTTAAAGAGTTTTTTTAAAATCAAACATTCTTAAGGAATTTGTACTTTGAAATCAGGAATAAAATAAAATTATTAGAAATAATGTTTAGGTTAATTAAAAGCTATTCCTGTAATGATATAATTAAATATAACAAAAATGGTTAAAATTTGTTAATATTTGAGTTCATTAAAAAAAAATTTGCTTCTAATTAGATCGAAGAAAGTACTCTAGAGAAAAATAAGTAAGTTTTATTTATAAGATGTAAATTATAAAGTTTATTATTTTTTTATAAAGACTCGATATAAGCTAATGATTCTTATATTAATTTTTCTTAAATTAAAATACCTCTAATTAAAAGAAAGAAGTTGTACTGAGAAACAATTATATATATTGAAATTTTAAATAAATTATTATTAACTAAATTTTTTAATCGAATTACGTAATTGTAAAGAGAGTATAATTTTTTTGACAGATGAAAATGTCAAGCCCATGCTAGAGAGCCTTGCACCTCTGTAAACAAAAACAGGTAACACACCATCTGTCAATCTATTGGAGAAGTGACACTGTAACTTTCATATCAATAAAGTGATTAATCATTTGGTGACAGTGGCATGATTCTTAGAATGTTATGTCAATAGGGGAAATAAATCTAGAAAAGTAGTGTGAGATGGATTAGAGTTATAAATACTCGACAGAGATAAAATATATCAGCAATTAATGTGAAAAGTTCTGGTATTACTTGCCTTTCTCTGTCCCTCATGGCATCATCTCCTACTAGTAAGTGAGTTCTGGTGTCAAATTCTTATACAAGAAATTACAACATCCGTAGTTTATGCAATGTCCTTGGTTTTCCCAAGGAGGATAAATAAGCGAGGTTGAAATGAAATTTCATTTCAGTAGAGAACCATAATGTGCAAAATGGAGAAGGAGATTGCATACTGCTAAATGGACCATACTTATATTTCTTACATTTTGGATTGTAAGAGTCTGCTCCCATTGGATCAATTCAAGACATGAAATATCACTTTTCAATTGCAAGTAGTATAAAGAGTATCATATATTATTATTCTAAATATCACACCAACCACAGATACAACATGATTAAAGGGAACAGAGATGGGTTCATAAACCCCACCTCTTGTAAAGGCAAAGCTAAGCATCAAAGCAACAGCTAATGCCATATCCCCTCAAAGAAAGGGAAAAAAAGAAATAAAGGGTGTCAATTGCTAAAGCAAAAGCTAAAAGTATATATGATCTGCTCTATACCAAAATTAAATCATCAATAATGCATAACATAAACATTGTACTCAACAGTAGCATCCCCAGTCTTGTAATCAAACCAATTAGTCCTAGCCTCTGCATACCCTCTAGCAAACCTGAAAAGCCCACTGCCTCCAATCACAGGCATCTCCCTCACCTTGTGAAAAACACAGTTCCTCCCCAAGATGGTGATGGTGCTGCCATTGTACTTCCCTTCAGAGAATGCAAGGTTCATAGCCATGAGAAGATTAATCTCACTCTGGGAAGCTGAGGCATAGAACCCCTGAGCCTTCCCCACAAGCTTGGAACTCAATTCAGGTCCCAAAGTCAAAGGATTGTCGATCATGTTGACCAAGCCAAATGCTGTGGTGGTGTTCAGCTTCAAAGTTGGGGGAACAACCGACACTGAAGTGGGGTTGCGTCCACTCACTAAGTCATGCCAATAGAACTTGAAATGGCTCAGTTTTTCTTTCTTCTTTAGGCCTAACAACTTGCGGTCTATGGCCTGACCAAAATCAGTGTCCTTTTGGCCCTTGAGGAGGTGGCAAGAGAGGAGGAGGAATGAGAATGTGAGGAAACAGTGGGGGGTTGGCATTGTGTGTTTGGTGATAACGTGGTGCCAGAATATGAAGGGAAAGAAAAGTTTGGGAGTGGAAAAGGGGTGGAGGGTGAAGGGGTTATAAGCAGACAAAGGAAGTGGGGAAAGTGTGGAAACAGATGAATGAGTGGGTGTGGTTGTAGGTGCCATCATTTCCTAGAACTCTTTAGGGACACTTTAATAACTTTCTTCCAGAATAAATAGAATTTTTGTTTTCTCATAAATTATTTTTCTAAATAGCCTCTCATAAAAAAAAGAAAAAAAGAAAAAAGAAAAAAGAAAAAAAAATATATATATATATAGCTTGAGAATTAATTTTTGGAAAACAACATTAAGGAGGCTGAGGACAAATTTTGACTTGTATTTTAGTTTTCCTTTTAAATTAATTTGAAATATATTAATTTAATTAACAATCGATTATATAAAATACAACCAATTCAAAATTTAATATATTAATAAAATATATTATTTATTCATATTTTGAGTTATTAAAAGATTATAATTTATATAATTAATTCTCAACTAATTATCACTTTTTTTAAATTAAACAAAAATATTTAATAAAAATAACTATATATATATATATATATATATATATATATATAAATATAATCAAAGCATCTTTTATTACTACCAACAACACATTTTAAATGGAACATGTTATGTAGGGTGTCAAAACAGGCTGATGAGCTTAAAAGGTTCAAAAAATAAGTTAGGTAGGCCAATAAATTTATGATCTAAATAGAATTAGATAAATTTTGGTCCGATTTATTTAGGTTAGGTTAGCCCATAGGCTCATGGGCTGACCTATTTTATAAAATAATAATTATTTTACTAATAAAATAAAAGTAATATTATTTTATTAAAAAATATAAGTATAATAAATTAATTTGATAAAATATTTTGCTATATATATAAAATTTAGAAAAAATAATAAACTCTAAACATAATTTTCATTTATTTTTATCATCTTCTTCTTCTTTGTTGTTACCGTCACATTTGTTTTTAAGGACTAATAATTTAAGATGACATATTGTTAAACGTAGTGTATTTCCAAAGTATCATGGTCCGAGAGTTATGTTTGATAATAACGTTAACTTGTTAAAATAATGAATTTGACACTAAAATTTATCGAGATACACTTGCTAGATGCATTACTAAACATGATATTCAATTTAGCTATGTTGAGTAGGAGAGAGTTTGAGAGGTAAATAAAGTTTTGAATTATGATCTTAAACCAATTACTAGAAACACTTCAATTACAAAGGTTTATAATGTGTATTTAAAAAGCTAAAGACGTGCTATCTAATATTTCGATAGGATATATTTGTATTCTGATGTATGGATAACTATAACTCATTCAAACTACATGTAACAACTCATTTTTATAATTTTATATATTTGATTATATTTTGCTTGAATAGGTGATGAGTTCATTTTAAATAAACAAATAAATGACATAATTTTTTTAAAATTAAAAAAATTATATAAATAAAAAATATTTTTAATTAGGTAAAAAAAGTGTCCGTTAGTTAGTTTAACATAAGATCAGATTAGATAAAATTTTTGGTCCATTTTAAAATATAGAAGAAACTTAATTATTAAATTTTTTTTATTGACAGACTAGGCTGAATTGTCAGTTTTCACAATTTTCATTCACCTTTAATCAACTGGAACTAAATTTCTAAGTCATATTAAATTATTTTAATGAATAATTTCATATGCACTTATATTTTTATAATTTTTTTATTTATATTTCACTTAATAATTTAAAATAATTTAATTATTTTTAATTAAATATTAGTTTAATATAATATTTTAATTTGACATGATTATAAATTTATAGAAGGTTTTAAATTTTTATAAAGATTAAATTTTTTAAAATGTTTATAAAACTAATTTATCTTGAAAATATATAAATTTTATATTTAAAATGAACTAATTTTATAAAAATTAAAAATATATTTTAAAAATATAATTTATTATAGTAATAATAATAATAATAATAATATTATTATTATTATTATTATTATTATTTTGTAAATAAAATTAAACTATACATGATTATATGTTCTTACTTTTGTTTAGAATTGAATTAACAAATTCTTAAATTTGTTTTACAAGCAAACGAATTTTTGTAAAATAGTTCTTATTTATTTATTTCTCAATTCTCTTTTCAAGCAAAATTAGCTTAAATTTTAGCAATAAATTCCAATGCATATATTTATAAAATGCACATATTTTTTCTAGGCAATAAGTTATCTACTCGCAATCCAATGGGATGCTCTTCGGAAATTTTTAATATTAAATTAATTTATTAAAATAATAATAATAGTTATTAATTTATACTAAAATTATATTAATAAGTATTATTATAAATGTCCCTAAAATATAATTTAAATTTTGATATATTTATTTAATATACTAATTCAATTAATTAATTACATTATATTAATATATTAAAAGATGATTAAATAAAATTATTATTAATTAAAATAAAAAACATTTTATTATTAATTGAAAAAATATTATTTATGAAAAATAGAACATCGTAGGTATTTAAGTCCTAGCTTAACAAAAATTACTCGCATATAATAAATAACTGAAGTTGATCTTGCTGGCAAAAAGAATTTCCTAGATTTCAACGTTACTTAAATATATATATATATATATATATATATATATATATATATATATATATATATATATATATATATTATCACACAGATAATTTATTGTCTAAATATTTTGAACAGTCATACTCATTTTTTTTTATTTTATTTTTCTTTTATTTATTTTTAATGATCCACAAAATTAACTAGCTTTATTTATTTTTAGCTTTATTATTATTTGTTTGTTTCGCGACATTTTCTTTTATAACGGGAGGATGAAAGTAAACATTAAGAGTTTGTAAAAATATGTTTTTTTTTTTTAAATTATACTATCATATTTTAAATTATTTTTAATCGTACTTAGAAATTATAATGATATAAATAAAAAATCTAATTAAATAGAGTAAAATTTAAAATTTTTATTTTTGAGATAAAAATTGTTTAAATAATGTTGGAACAGAAGAATTATCTTGAGCAGATTAATGGTAAAACAACTCATCTTGAATGAGAAATAAATGAGTATTATATACAGTAGTAACTCGAATAACAGTAGAAATAACAATTAAACTCGTACTCGTGGGATCGACCCGTCCCTATTCCGAGTTTGACGGAAAAAAATCGAGTTGACCGGGGCCGGGGCGGAGGTGAGTTCGAGTTTTTCCCGCTTTAAAAATCGGGGCGGGGATGTGTAATGCAATCCCCACCCCGACCCCGTCCCCGTCCCTCGTGACATTTTTTTTTTCTTATTATTTATTATTATTATTATTATTATTTGTATAAGAGTAATGTATAAAAAAATATACATATATGTAAAAGTAATTTACATCAATATATATATATATATATATATATATATATATATATAGTAATTTACATCAATATATATATATATATATAAGATATACAAAAGAAGAAGGAATTTTATTTTTGATTTCTTCTATTTTTTTCTACAATTTTACAAGTATCTACATTGTTCGTGGAAACAAACTAATTAAGAGGTTTTGGAAAAAGGTAGGAGACATACAAAAGGTAACCACTAGTGGCCCATCTAACATAATGAAATTTCTCATATCAGATACAAATGTTATTATTGAAAATCCTGTCCCTCTAAAAGTAACTGAGTTGTCTATAACATTCGTGTTCCAAGTAATTTCTTGAAAGAAGACAGTGATGCTTGCAGAAAAATGATTTGAAATATTTGGCGCCTCCATCTACTTAAGTTGGTGTTTAAATAAAACATGCACAAAAAATCACAATAGAGAGTGAGAACATTTATCATTTATAATAATACAATCTTATAATATATAGATATATATGTTTCAACTTCCTTAACACATTCTATTTTATGAAGATTTAAATTAAATTTGTAGTGACTAGTGAGGATAAATGAGCTCAATTTTAATCACTCTCATAGGGATATTTACTCATTTAAATCCCCAAGGTCCAACCTCCATCCACAATATCATCAAATCTTCACAAATAGATATTATTGTAATTGAATAATATAACTATAAATTAATAAATAGGATCGTTGCATTACTAGAGATAAAATAAAGTAAACAAACAGGACTAGTACATAACTGGAGATAATTAAAATAGGACCAATACAAGATTGGAGATAAAATAAATAAATAAAGAGAACCAAGTACATAACTCGGAGATAACTAAAATAGGATCAGCATAAGACTCGGAGATAAAATAAACAAATAATTAAATAAATAGAATGAGGTTAGGGACACCTCACTCCACAACTATAAGCAAAATAAAATAGATTTAATGATAATATTCTCCTCCCATACCTTAAGAAATGAAGATGATGTACCAAAATTTTGCAGAGATGACTTATCTTTCTCTCCTTTTCTTCTTCTCCCTTCCTTTTTCTCTCTTTTTCTCTTTCTCTCCCTCTCTCTTTTTCTTTCTCTTCCTCTCTCTCCTTCCTCTCCCTCTCTTCTTCTCTCTGTTTTTTTTTCTTCTTCTTCCTTTCTCCCTCCCGTAACCCTTATTTATAATCATAAATAAATATTTATTATTATTATTATTATTTATTTTTTTTACTTGCATTTAATGCAAGAGATAGGATAGGATTTTATTATTACTTTAATCATTATCTCTTAAAGAGATAAGATAATGTTTTTAGCGGTAAGATAATATTATATGAGATGTTACATTTCTCCCATACTTACACAGAAATTTCGTCCTCAAAATTTTTAGCAACTAAAATAGATGAGGGTAACTTTCTTTGATTCTCTTTTCTAATTCCCACGTAGCATCTCCAGTAATTTCATTCCAAACAACCTTTACTAGTGGAATTTGTCTTCCCCTCAGTTGCTTGATCTTCATATCTGTAATCTGTACATGCATTGTTTCAAATGTAAGGTTATCCTTTAATTGTACTGTATCTGACATTATTACATGAGAATGGTCAGAAATATATTTTCTTAATTGAGACACATGAAACACATTATGAAGATTAGAAAGGAAAGGGGGTAAGGAAATTTGGTAAGCAACATGACCTATTTTTCTAAGAATTTGATAGGGACC